GGAACCAGCTTCCAGTTTGGATTCAGGAGACAGACACTATCTCTACTTTCAAGATTAGGCTTCAAACTTTCCTTTTTGCTAAAGCATATAGTTAGGGCTGGACCAGGTGATGTTGTAATAGACGTAGGCTGCTGGGGGACTCCCATGATGCAGTGATGTGAGTGTTTCATTCACTATGTGTTTATACACCTCTCTGCATTTAATTATTAGTTATTATTAATCTCTGGCTCTCTTCCACAACATGTCTTTGTCCTGTCTTCCTCCCTGAACCCCAACCGGTCGCGGCAGATGGCCGTCCCTCCCTCAGCCTGGTTCTGCTGAAGGTGTCTTTCTGAGAAAAGGGAGTTTTCTCATTCCCATTTGCTCAAAGGGTTCATTTGATTGTTGGGGTTTTCTCTTTTTTTTCTTTGTAATATTGTAGGGTCACCTTAAAATATAAAGCGCCTTGAAAAATAAAATTATATTGAGTTGTGTTGAACTGAGGAATATCAAGTTTCACAAAATCTGACTGTATCTCATTAATATTAATCAGCACCTCACTTTTCAGTCTCGGTACTATCTATGTTGCTGCTAACAGCAGTATTTCTCTCGTCAGTCTTAACATTTGTTTGTTTGTTTCCAGGAGTCTACACCTTTGGCCTCTTCACTGTTGACATCTTTGTCAACGCAGGGCAGGTAGTGACAGGAAACCTGGCACCATACTTCCTGACTGTCTGTAAGCCAAACTACACAGCACTGGGTTGCCAGCAGGCCCTGCGCTACATCAGCCACCAGGAGGCCTGCACAGGAAACCAGGACGACATCCTACGTGCCCGCAAGACTTTCCCGTCCAAAGAGGCTGCGCTTAGCGTCTATGCTGCACTCTACCTAGCTGTGAGTTGTTCTTACATCCAGCCATATGTGTTTCGTATAATCCTTTTGTTGTCTCTGATTGTATCACCTCCATTTTGTTTGCGAGGGATCTGGTGTCGGTGAGAAAGATGGATGAAAACAGGGTTTGTTTTGTTGTTTTCGCTGCTGGGTGTGATAGCCCCGCTCTGCATCCCTGCTTTTATTTCCTTGTTACCTATCTCTGCACAGTCTGTGTCGCTTGCTGTTCCCAACAGTAACCCATAGGGCGCCTGGTGGTCTCACAATCTCAGGTGGGTTACTGGTATGCAGCAGAATTCATGGTTCCATTTACCACAGCAAGTCTTCGAGGTCCTGAGCCAGCAAAACAGCCCCAGATCATCACAATACCACCACCATATGTGACTGTTGGTGTGATGGTCCTTTTGTGAAATACATTTTGGAAGAGGTGACTTCCAAAAAGTTCAGCTTTGTCTCGTCAGTCCACAGAATATTTTCCCCAAAAGTCTTGGAGATAAGAGATGTTTTTTGGCACATGTAACACTGTTGTGTTCTTTTTGGTTAGCAGTGGTTTTCTCCTTGAGCTCTCCCATGGATCCCATGTTGCCCAGTCTCTTTCTTATTGTTGAATCATGACCTCTGACCTTAGACATGTGAAGCCTGTGGTTCCTTAATTATGTTCTGGGTTCTTTTGTGACCTCCTGGATGATTGGTTGACGTGCTCTTGGAGTAACTTTGGTAGACCAGTCCCATTTTATTTATATAGCGCTAAATCACAACAACGGTTGCCTCAAGGTGCTTGTGCAGTGAGATAGCCACAGGCAGGAATGATTTCCTGTGTTGTTGAGTGGTGCATTTGGGCAATCTTAGTCTTTAAGTGAACATGCCCTGGCTGGCTAGCACCTCATGGAGTGGGTGGGAGGCATTTTGCAGCATTGTCCTTATCTTGGAAACCATGAAACAGCATAGAGGATGGCATTGGTCACACAGACCCAAAGAATATCCTGAGCATTGTCCGATGTTAAAAGACCTCAGCTACCTTGGCTCTGGCCTGTCCTGCACTGTGCACTGATGCTTTTTTACCCGTCCAGTTTATTGTTTATCAAACTTACCTCATACAAACACATTTTCCATGCTTTTTTGCTCAAGTGCTTTCAGTCTAACATTCACACACATACATACACTGATAGATGCATCGGAGAGCAACTTGGGGTTAGTATGTGACCGAAGAATATTTGGTCCTGGAGACTGAAGCAGCAACAACTTTCCAATTACTAGATGACCTGCTCTACCTCCTACAGCCATCCCGTGTGACTGTTGATTTATCCTTTAAGCAAAGCATAAAAATGAAACCTTTCAAAAAAGCTTCCGATGCTTTCTGATGATCTGATTTGTTTGATTTTCTGTGTCAGAGCCAATGTGTACCAAAGTGCCCATAAGTGATCGATGCATGGCTTTGGACGATCACTGCCTGCCTGCATGGTGAGGAGAACAGATTGTCTCTGTTATATAGGTCATTTAGCACAAGCCAATGTGTGTGTCCAGGACATACAGGCAGTTTGCACACACTGACACACAAAAGTCCTCACACACACAATACTGCAACTGCAAGAAGATGATGAAAATTATTCCTCTTGTTGTCTTAGTCACTACAGCAATGCCAGGGTCTGTTGAATCAGCTGTAATTGCTCCTAGAGAAGGGCAATATGACCAAAAATATTTATCACGATACACATTTGAAAATTTGCGATAACGATATAACTGACGATATAATTGACACAAAATACTTTACAACTCCACAACTTTATTAGTGCAAAAAAAACCAACCCATCAATGTATTTTCACTTAAATAAGCAGCTGTTTTTTATCTGCATTAAAGTTATATAAAATGTAACAGTGCAAATGCAAATTCCTCGCTGACAGTTTAACCAAAAGGCATTTCCAGTGGAAACTGGCCGACATATCCTCAGCATAACCATGTATAATATCCACAAA